CTCGTCGGACTGGAGCGACGGCGAAAGGCGTACGACGTACGGGAAAGTAGTTTGGCTGAGGGCTTAATCGCCGAGGAAGCTAATTAGCCACGTGTCACGATATCTCAGGACGGCATCGTTGGGAGGAAAGTACAGCGCGCCGAGCTGACGGTGGCTTCAGGCAAAGGTCGAGGACATTCCTTGTTAGTATTTATGATATACCCCGATTACTATCATTTCTCTTTTTCTTTTGATTTGTTTACCAGGGAGGAGAAGGGAGGGGAAGGGAGGGGAGGAGAGGGGAGGAGAGGGGAGGGGAGGGGAGGGGAAGGGAGGGGGGGAGTTGTTCAGAGTCTCCCGCCGCGTTATAACCCTCTTACGCGTTTGTCACATCCGTGTTTGGCGTCATTATCATATCTCTCGTCTCTCTCCTTCTCCTCTTATCTGTTTCCTTTCTCTCTTTGCTGTCTCTTCTTTCCTTCTCCTCTCTCTCACATTTCGTCCTCTCTCTCTCTCTCTCACATTTTTTTCTCCCTCTCTCTCTCTCTCTCTCTCTCTCTCTCTCTCTCTCTCTCTCTCTCTCTCTCTCTCTCTCTCTCTCTCTCTCTCATAGACACACACAGGCACTCATATTTTGCCCTCTCCCTCGTTCTCTCTTCTCCCTCCTTTCCCTTTCTCCACGCCGAGGGATCTCTCTGCCGATAGACGGGCAGCCATAGATCTCTGTAAGCAAATCCATCACGACAGCTAGCCTCAAGTTGCAAATTGCGTACTTGTCCTTCTTCTTCGTTCTTTTTCCTTCTTCTTCTTCCTCCTCTTCGTCTTTTTCTTCGTATAACTTAGTTTCACTTTTTCCTTTCTTCTTCTTCTTCTTCTTCCTCTTTCTCTTCTTCCTCTTCTTCTTCCTCCTCTTCTTCTTTTCTTCCTCTTCTTCCTCTTCCTCTTCTTCTTCCCTTTCTTCTTCGTATAACTTTCAGATGGCCTCACCTGAAACGTTGTTAAAGAATTCGGGGGTATATAAAAAAACTTTTGTTAAAATATATATATATATATTGCTACTTTCTTTTCTTTTGTCGTTTTGTGTCTTCGTATAACATCCAAGCTTCCCTTACTTCTTCTCCTTTCTCTCCTCTTCCTCTTTCTTCTTCTTCTTCCTCCTCCTCCTCCTCCTCTTCTTCTTCTTCTTCTTCTTCTTGGAGAATTAAACACACAACAGGCGGCCATCTTCACCCTAACAGAAACCCCCACGGTCATTATCGCTGCATCTGGTCTCAAAGTTGCCCAAAGTACAGCTATTATGATCATGTGTTCTATTCGGATGAAGACGGTAACAACGATCCAGAGAGAGAGAGAGAGAGAGAGAGAGAGAGAGAGAGAGAGAACCAGCCAAGACAGAAGCGCCATGTTCGGTCGAACAAATTGAGAAGAAAGACAAAAGACAAAAGACAAAAGAAAAGTAAGAAAACATAATATTTTTTTGTACACCCCCCCCCCCGGTAATTTCGAACAAATTTCAGATGAGGCCATCTGAAAGTTATACGAAGGTCGGGATCCCATAAGACTTGCCATTGCCATTGTCACTTCTATTTTCTCGTCCTATATTTGTAGTGTGTGTGTGTGTGTGTGTGTGTGTGTGTGTGTGTGTGTG